TGGGGGCCCAGCAGGGGGAGCACTTAGGATAGACAGACTCTTAGGAGAAGCAAGGAAGAAATTCAGGAAGAGGAAGTGTTTTTAAGTGGGGGGTGTGGCCTGTGTGAGCCTCTTTGAGACCATGCGGTTAGTCCAGGTGAGGTGGCCTGTATTGTTTGTTTGCATTGTTTGAATTGGTTTGTAGTGTGCTTATTGCTTTTGTCTTTGAGGAGAAGCAAGGAAGAAATTCAGGAAGAGGAAGTGTTTTTAAGTGGGGGGTGTGGCCTGTGTGAGCCTCTTTGAGACCATGCGGTTAGTCCAGGTGAGGTGGCCTGTATTGTTTGTTTGCATTGTTTGAATTGGTTTGTAGTGTGCTTATTGCTTTTGTCTTTGGCTGTTTAGGTGAGTTTGTTTATTTTAGGTGAGTTGTTGGAGAGTGGGGGAGTAGGGGGAGGTAGAGCACAGCCTAATCCGGCAGGGGAGAGTTTAGCTTAAAAAGGCATCTCTCCTTGACTCTACCTCCCTCATTCAAAATGGCCACTGCTTTCTCCAACTGGTTAGGGGAGTTTGTTTGCTGAATCTGCTGGTGTGTTTTGTCCTAGTTGATGATAATGTTGTGTGTGGTAGCATAGGCAAGATAAAGGAGAAAATAGTGGTGGTGTGAGGAGCAGTGATGGCTGGCATTAGGGGAGTGACTCTGGGACGCCAGTGATCACTGTCTAGCCTCCTTGAGGTGTCGTGGGACCAACTAGACGAAACACTGGTGAAAGGAGGTTCCCACCTGATGACCCCAAAGACATGTTAGTTATCACTGCTCATTAGTCTGTATAGTCAAATTAATACTTATCATAGGATTTAGGATGTTAAGCTTAGGGAGCTATTCACTGAGTCTGGTCCATTTTCTGTAGCACAAGTTTCTTGTGTTTACCTTAAATAAATTGTATATTAGAGGTTTTGAGTCGCTGTCGTGTTGTGAGTCTCATTGTGAGTATGAACGATATGGATGTGTGTTGATGTATCTGTTGTCACTGAAGTATTGTCTATGAATTTATGTTGTTGGCTAATGGTGATCTGAATAAATAAATAATAATACAGGGTAATAATAATAATACAGGGTCGGCTCATACGTGATGATGTAACGTGTTGGAGGCGGGGACTAAACCGCTCATCCCCTGTGAACGCAGCTCTCCTGTCATGTGACAGTTTCCTGTGAGGACAGTTACTGTTGTTTCTCTTTCATGTCTAACACTGATTTTATTTAGTATGATGATTTTACATCATCAAAACATTACTATGTTAACTATCTTCATTTTCATCCTCCTGTTGATAAACTGGTGATTTTTCTGTAATACTTTCTTGGAGCAGCTCATGGTTCAGGTCTCTGACACATGACAGACAGTAGGATCTCTATTCAGAGTGTAGATGGAACCATCCAGGAGGTTCCTGTTCTCTTACTGTGGTTCTGTCTGCTCCTGCTGTCTGCTGGGTCAGGGTTAGTCTGGGTTTTGGAGCCTGGATCATCCCTGTATTAATTGTATGGTGATGTCAGTGGTCTTCTGTCCCTGCAGGCTGTGGGGGGGATCTCTCTGGTCCACAGGGCTCCTTCACCAGTCCAGACTACCCCAGCAGGTACCCCGAGAACAGGGAGTGTTTGTGGTACATCACCACATCAGCTGGCAGCAGCATCACCCTCACCATCCATGAGTTTGATGTGGAGTTCCACCCAGACTGTAACTATGATGTTCTGGAGGTGAGACCTGGACCTGGACCTGGACCTGGACCTGTGGTTCTGGTCCTGGTCCTGGTCCTGGTCCTGCTGGTTTACAGAGTTCATTAAACTGTTGTCTTTATGTTGACTGTGATGATAGAGACATGTCTCTGAATGAACATGTCTTCACGAGTGACTCAGCAGTGGAACCAGTGTCCTGTCTTTGACCTCCGCCCCCCCCCCCCAGGTGTATGGAGGTCCGGACCTTTCAGCCCCTCAGCTGGTCAAGCTCTGCAGCACCACGTCCAGCCCCATGCAGGTCTCCAGCACCGGGAACCTGCTCACAGTCCGCTTCAAGTCCGACGCCTACGTCAGCGGCCGAGGCTTCAACGCCAGCTGGACTGAAGTCCAGGGAGGTGGGTGGAGTCATTGAGAACCACAGAGTACCACAGAGAACCACAGAGAACCATAGAGTACACAGAGAACCACAGAGAACCACAGAGAACCACAGAGTACCACAGAGTACCACAGAGAACCACAGAGAACCACAGAGTACACAGAGAACCACAGAGAACCACAGAGAACCACAGAGTACCAGAGAGTACCAGAGAGTACCATAGAGTACACAAAGAACCACAGAGTACACAGAGAACCTCAGAGAACCTCACAGTGGTGAGGCTGTGATCCTGGTGGCTGGAGGTTGTTGGACTGATGGTTGTTCTTGTCAGAAGAAGAGTCAGTGACTGAGTCAGTGTCTGTGAGTCTGTGAGACTGATCCAGAATGTGAAGGTTTAAACCTGAAGTTTTTTATTAACCTGAAAACAATCAACAAGATTTCCTGAATGTTCTTTCCTTCATGTTCTGAAAGCTTGAAGTGCAGGTTTCAAAGCTGGATTTATTTGTTATTGATGTTCTTTGTGACTCTCCAGATCACCTGTTGTCATTCAGACTTTCTGGTATCACACAGACACACAGCTCTCGGTGACCCTTTGACCCTCTGCCCCTCCTACTCAGGCTGCGGGGGTCCAGTCACTGCTCCATCAGGGGAGATCCACTCTCCTTCTTATCCCAGCAGCTATCCCAACAATGTGGACTGTTCCTGGGTCCTCAGTGTGGACTCCCACCATCGAGTCTCCTTCAACTTCTCTGACCTGGACATCGAGCACCACAGTAACTGTGCCTGGGACTACGTGGCTGTGAGTGACGGCTTTCATGTGTTCATAACTGTAGTTGGTTAATGTGTTCATAACTGTAGTGGTCGAGGAACCTTTACACATCCTGCGGAGATCAACAGTCTGCAGGGGGAGGGTTCAGTCCTGATCCTGATCCAGCTCTAACTAGACTCTGTACCAAAGAGGAAACCTGGACTGGATCTGGATCTGGATTGTGGACACGGTCTGTTTAAGACTGATCATTTACTCTGTCTCTGTAGATCCACGACGGTCCAACCGCGTCATCTCCTCTGCTGGCCCGAGTGTGTGGCTCCAGTCTGCCTCCCTCCATCACCTCCACCCAGAACTCCATGTTTGTTCGCTTCAGGTCCGACTCCAGCCGCAGCCACCGAGGATTCAGTGCTCACTTCTCTGAGGGTGGGTCTGACATCTGCTGCTGTGTCCTCAACATGGTTTTAGTCCATCAGTCCTTCCCTTCATCCATCAGTCTCCTCTGTCTTCACTTATACTCAGATTGTCTGTAGATGATGTCGTCTCAGGCTTCTGTCACACAGCTGATCTCAGACCAGCTGATAGAAACATGAAGGACATGTCTCTCCCTCCTCTCTGCCCCCCCCCCCTGTCTGTGAGTGCTTGTGAAGTGTGTGGAGCTGTTGAGTGAGTCTGGGACATTTGGATTGATTCTTGTCTGATTTTCACCTTGTGCTTTATGGGAGGTGAGAGGAGTTTAAGTGATTGAATTGTTGTCCATCAGACACGGGGTTAGAGTGATGACGGTACACCGTGGAACAGATTCTCTTGTCGGGAGGGAGGAGCGGTTAGTCCATCAGCTGGTTGAGAGAGGCCTGGTGTTAGACGATCTGTTTGTACCTGCTACACGGATCACCGTGTCAGGCGTCCCCCCGTTCATTTCCAGTGAACTGTTGGAAAAGGAACCGACCTGCCTCTGTAAGTTTGCCAGCGGGTTCAAAACAGTTCGTCTGGGCTGCAAAGACGCCAGACTGCAACACATTCAGTCTCTACGGAGAAAGGCCTTCATGTACCACAGCGATCCTATGGGAGTCTTGGACGTGTCAATTAAGGCTAAATTTGAAAATGATTTCTATGCTGTTTATGCAAGATCTGGCAGCATGAAATGTTTTGATAGGGTTAGGGGTAGGATATAACCCTAATGTGGTGATATCGGCCACAAGTGCTCATCCGGCCCACATGAACAGCAGGCTGCATGCAGCACTGTTACCAGCAGCAACAGGCACTTCGCACCACGATGCACTTGATAATTAAGTAACTGTGGACAGTGAGGTGAGGGACCAGTGTCCTGTTGATACTGAGGGCGAGACTGTAGAGGACAATGAAGGCAGTGGGCAGAAAGAACGAGTGAAGGACACCGAGACAGCTGAGGCTGACGGCGCAGCAGCAGGTGAATCAAACAGTCTACATGATGAAAAGGAGGAGGAAGACATGTTGGAGGATGACTCCTTATCACAGTTTACTCATACTGTCTCACAGGATGATAGGCAGCCATATTCACAGCAGGAGATCAATTATTTCCATCTTCTCAGATGTTGATAGATTCGTTAATTCTTTACTAAAGATAAGAAAACAGGCAAGTTATGAACAGCTGAATAAACAGAGAAGGTTTCATCTTAAAAAGATACTGACTAAACTCAGGAAAGAAAAGTGAGGAAAGGCTCCTCTAAACAGAAATGAATACAAAATGGGTGAAGCACTAAGGGCGGTCTTTTCCTCTTTGAAGGGTTTTGCTGTCCTCTCTCTATTCTTTCTCTCTTTACTCTACATGGACGTCTTGAGAGTAGGAACACTGAACATCAATGGAGGGAGGGACACAGACGAGCGATGTCAACTGAGCTGAGCAGAATCAAACACATAGATGTGTTTCTCTTACAAGAGACACAGCTCAGTGGACAATGAGAGAGAGTGGGGAATGTCTTGGAGACAATGAGGAGTAGCAATCTTATTTCACATCATCTCACATTATCAAATGTTGGAAAAATCAGTGCCGAATTGTCTCGATGGAGTTGGATCCCGCCCCAGTTGTCTTACAGAGGGAACCACTTTGGTTGTTAACAACCGGGCTGCATCTGTGCTCTGGCACTGGCTTACAGTTGTGGAACCTCCAGACACTCTTCACTGGATTAGATCTGCAGTGCTGTTTTTACCTGTGTCAGAGGGAGGCCAGGAGTCATATAGCAGCCTTCTGTCTTCAGACTGCACAGCGTCTTCTCTACCATAGGCAGCAGCTCTGGGCTCAAACAGCATCTGTGCTGCTTCATAGAGTGAAAAACCTGGTCTATGATAAGCACTTGTTTCTTTTGGATCTGAACGGTAAGGACATTTCACAGACTTCCTGGTTTCACCCTTCAGTTCTGCATGCCTGGAGAACTGTACTAAAAGTGAAGAGAGATTGTTCTGAGTGCTATGGTAAGGTTGGAGAGGAACCTTTGTTTCACAACCCATCAGCATGCAGAGAACCTTTATAACAGCTGAGCTGACGAGGCCGGCGGGACTGAGGTCAGCGGGACTGAGGTCAGCGGGACTGAGGTCAGCGGGACTGAGGTCAGCGGGACAGTGGAAAACTGGCTGAGTCAAGATACTGGAATTAAGTCTCTGTGTCTTCTGGAACGACTGTCGGAGGAGGCAAAGAATGGACTTCCTAGTCTTTTTAGGGAGATGTTGGGGGCGGAGTCAGAGTTTTGATGATGGGCTTTTTATTTTTGGTCCCAGATACTTTGCAGCACAGTTAAGAACTGTATGTCTGGTTAATTTCTTATTGCACCAAGCCAAGTTGAGCATTCGGCTCACCAGAGGAAACAGAATGAAGGGGACAGGCTCTGTAGATATTGATGTTTAAAGGTCTAGTGGCTTCACGTCTCAGAATAGAGTTTGTTTATTATTAAATGGTGTCAGAACTAGAGGAGGGTGTTTGTACTTGGGGGATTGGAGGTGTCTGGTGCAGTACTTCTCATGAATCACTCATTCTCTGTTTCTGAACAGCTTGAATCAATATCAAATCAAATAATTGTTTTTATTTATTCATTTATTTATTTATTTTTGTTTTGTTATTGTTTTTTGAGGTATGTGTTTAACTTCCTGGTGTATCGTTTAATGGGATTTAGACCAATAAAGGGTTGGTTAAAGGTCAAAGGTCAAAGGTCTCGCTCTCTCTCTCGAATTTGCTCTCTCCTTCAGATATTCTATCATGTATATCTGAGCTCCAGGCTGAGGTCACTGGAGGTCACTGACCATGTAGTTGTGTTTGTGTTCACCAGCCTGTGGTACAACCATCATCACAGACGATGTGGGAGGGGCCATCGCATCGCCACGGTACCCATCCCCGTACCCACCCAATCAGAACTGCAGCTGGATCATCAGAGCACAGGAACCATGTGAGCTGCCTCAGAGTAAAAACTACTGTTATGGTATCAGGACATGTTGTGTTCTTTAACCTTTGACCTCTCTTCCTGTGGCCAGTCAACCATGTGACCCTGTCCTTCACTGACTTTGAGCTGGAGATGATCAACACCAACTGCTCCCATGATGCAGTGGAGGTCCTGGATGGAGATAACTACCAGGCTCCTTCTATAGGTAGTGTGTGTGTGTGTGTGTGTGTGTGTGTGTGTGAGAGTGAGTGTGTGTTAGTGATGGGTCGGTCGCGAACGAGAGCCGGATTAGAGCCGGCTCTTTACAAAGAGCCGGAATTCCCATCACTAGTGTGTGTGAGAGTGTGTGTGAGAGTGTGTGTGAGAGTGTGTGTGTGTCTGTGTGTGTCTGTGTGTGTGAGTTACAGTGTGTTGTTGTCTTCAGGTCGTTACTGTGGCGTGGAGGTCCCTCACCCCATCACGTCCTTCAGTAACTCATTGGTGGTGAACTTCGTCTCTGATTCCTCCGTCTCCAGGAAAGGCTTCAGAGCCTCGTTCTCAGCCTCCACCTCCAGTAAGAACCACTGACCTCTGACCTCTGTAAACTGTCATCTGCTGGTACTGAGTCCCTGCTCCCCCCCCCCCCCCCCCCCCCCCCAGGCTGTGGAGGAGACCTGGTGATGGAGAGTGGAGCGTTCAACAGTCCCAACTTTCCAGACGCTTATCCACCGAATGTGGAGTGTGTGTGGACCATTAGGAGTTCTCCAGGAAACCGTCTCCAGCTCTCCTTCATGTCAGTATCAGTGACCAGCTTCACTCGCTACATCCTCTCAACTCAACGTCCCTTTAGTTCCTGTTTCCTGTTTCCTGACCTGATAGATAGATAGATAGATAGATAGATAGATAGATAGATAGATAGATAGATAGATAGATAGCAGCTGAATAAAAATACAAACATAGAAAGTACACAATAGAAATGAGAAGTAGATAAAATATAAATAGTATTAAAAAGTATTTGATGATGATGAAGATGGTGATGATGATGAAGATAGTGATGATGATGAAGATAGTGATGATGGTGATAAGGATGATAGTGATGATGAAGACGTGATAGTGATGATGATGGTGATGATGATGATGATGGTGATAAAGATAATAGTGATGATGATAGTGATGATGCAGATGATGATCATGGTGGTAGTGATGGTGATGATGATGAAGATGATAGTGATGATGTTGGTGATGATGAAGATGATGATGCTGATGATGATGGTGGTGGTAGTGATGGTGGTGATGATGACAGTGATGATGAAGATGATGATGATGATGATAGTGATGATGCAAATGATAATGATTTGGTGGTAGTGATGGTGGTGATGATGAAGATAATAGTGATGATGATGATAGTGATGATGAAGATGATGATGATGATGATAGTGACGATGCAGATGATGATGATGTGGTGGTAGTGATGGTGGTGATGATGAAGATGATAGTGATGATGGTGATGATGAAGATGATGGTGATGAAGATGATGAAGATAATAGTGATGATGGTGATGATGAAGATGATGGTGATGAAGATGATGAAGATAATAGTGATGGTGATGAAAATGATGACGGTGATGATGAAGATGATGATAGTGATGATGCAGATGATGATGATCGTGGTGGTAGTGATGGTGGTAATGATGATGATGATGATGAAGATGATGATGATGATGGTGGTGATGATGATGATGGTGATGATGGTGATGATGAAGATAATAGTGATGATGATGATAATGATGATAGTGATGATGATGGTGGTGATGATGATGATGATGATGAAGATAATAGTGATGATAAAGATGATAGTGATGATGATGATGATAGTGATGCAGATGATGATGATGGTGGTGGTAGTGATGGTGGTGATGATGATAGTATGTACAGGACACCTGAGTGTAACACACCTGTGTGGGGTTCAGGGTCTTTCACCTGCAGGGAGACTCGGGCTGTCACAACGACTTCGTGGAGATCAGGGAGGGAAATTCCACGGGGCCTCTGGTTGGTCGGTTCTGTGGATACTCTCTTCCCTCCAACTACACCTCCGTGATCGGTCACATCCTGTGGGTGAAGTTCGTGTCCGATGCTTCAGTCAGCGGAGTGGGATTCAGAGCCACCTTCTCTCACCGTGAGTCTGTGATGTCACCTGTGTTCACCTGTTCAGAAGAAGAACTCTGACCTCTGACCTCCTCTCTGCTCCTCAGTGTATGGTAATGATGTGACGGGGGAGTCGGGTCAGATTGCCTCCCCTCTGTATCCCAGAACCTACCCCAACAACGCCCACTACCGCTGGACCATCAGTGTGGACGGAGACAGCTACGTCCAGATCCGCTTCCTGGACATGGACATCGAGGACCTGTACGACTGCTACTACGACCAGCTCAGAGTAAGACTGAGTCCGTCCCCTCTGACTGTTGTTGTTGTGTCACATGGTTCGACACGGTTTCATCCACTGACTGCTTCAACATGGATCCAGATTCTTCTCACATTTAAAGTTTTAAAATTATTTTCAGAGTTAAAACATTTTTTTTATTGTTTGATAAAACCCAAACTGACTGTCTTCCTGTCTACGTCTCCATGGTAACGTGAGGGTCTGATCCTGATCCTGATCCTGATCCATCTCTCCAGGTATTTGATGGCTCCAGTGTTCACTCCTACCCCATCGGGACCTTCTGTGGTCTGGACCTGCCGCCTCCCCTGAGGAGTACCAGCAACACCGTCACCCTGCAGTTCCAGTCTGACACAGTGCAGGGAGGACGGGGCTTCCTGGTGGAGTGGACTGCGGCCCAGGACTCTGGACCCCCACCCACCATTACACCAGGTCAGACAGTCGGACTGACTGACTTTATTTTATGCTGCTGCACCTTTCAAACTAAACGACAGGAAGGTGTACAGCTCATTCAGAAAGTCTTCAGACCCTGTCACGTTTTCACATGTTGTTAATCCACAGTTTTATACTGAAATAAAAAGTGTGTGTGTGTGTGTGTGTGTGTGTGTGTGTGTGTGTGTGTGTGTGTGTGTGTATATGTCAGGTGCGTGTGGTGGAATCCTGATGACCGGGGACTCTCCGGCCTTCCTCTTCTCCCCCGGCTGGCCTGAGAACTACCTTCCTAACCAGGAGTGCACCTGGCTGATCCGGTCTCCAGGCTCCACTGTGGAGTTCAACATCCTGTCTCTGGACATGGAGGACTACCCCACCTGCTACTTTGACAGCCTGGTCATCAGAGACGGTGAGGCCTTGTCTGTAGGGACTCAGTGCTCAGTGTTTGTTCCTCCACACACTCCTTACCTGTGTGTGTCCACAGGTGCGACCAGTATCTCCCCCGTGCTGGCCAATGTGTGTGGTCGTGAACTTCCAGGTTCCCTCCATTCCACAGGAGATTCCATGTTCATCCACTTCTCCTCAGATGGCAGCGTCAGCGGCCGAGGCTTCAACGCCTCCTACTCCAGAGGTCAGAGGTCATCACACACCTGAAGATCACCTAGAGGCAGGAACACCTCCACTCGGAGAGGAGGGACTGAGGAGGTGCAGTGTACAGTGGCCCACAAGCTCAACTCACTGCAACTTCAGAAAACATTAATGTGACAACACATGAGCTGTAAATACTCACAACAAAAACAAAAACACAAACACACTGCAAATACAGGCAACACAACGGAAGTCAGGTCCGTCACTTCTTAGTGTCCCCTGGAAACACTTCTGTTGTGTTGTGTCTCTGCAGCTCGTGTGTCAAACTGATGATTTGGTGAGTTGTTTGCGTTCTGTCTGTTTTAATGTGTTTTCTTAAGTTGCAGTGTGTTGAGCTCTCAGGGCCACCGTAGCAATGACCTCCTGGAGTCACAGCCTCAAGTTGCCAGGCAACCAGTGGAGACTCCTGGGAGAGCCAGGAAATAGTTCAGCTGCTTAATGAGCTGTAAAAATACAGCATGTAGTTATCATTAATAATCATATCATTATTAATGATAATATAATTATTACTAATAAACACCTCTCTGTGTGTTCAGGTTGTGGAGGTCTGCTGCATGTAGACAGGGGGGTGCTCAGCAGCCCCCGCTACCCTCAGACCTACCTGCCTGGTCTGGACTGCAGCTGGCACGTGATGGTGACCCCTGGCTTCAGGGTCTCTGTCACTTTCCAGACTCCATTCCAGATTCAGGGCTATGGGACCGGCTGCAGCTCAGGAGACTACCTGGAGGTAACAACATCTGGATCTGAACATCTGTGTGTTCTGAAAAGTGGAAAAGGAAGTCCCACTGCTGTGTGGAGGTTTAGCTCTGGAACAGTCTAGTTCCTGGAAGCAGGTGTTAAACCCTCAGCGAGGTTCAGGTCTCTGTCTGAGGTGTTAATGATCAGCTCGTTAATGCTTTAATTACTCACTGTGATTATTGACTCTCCACAGCTGAGGAACGGTCCGGACGCCTCAGCTCCACTCCTGGGGGGTCGTCTGTGTGGAACTAGTCCCCCCTCCCTGGTGCAGACCACTGACAACCACCTGTTTGTTCACTTTGTGTCTGATGCCAGCAACGAGGCCAGCGGCTTCCAGCTGACCTTCGAGGCCCACAGTCAAGGTAGACCACCACCACAGTCAGGGTAGACCACCACAGTCAAGATAGACCACCACCACAGTCAGGGTAGACCACCACAGTCAAGGTAGACCACCACAGTCAGGGTAGACCACCACCACAGTCAGGGTAGACCACCACCACAGTCAGGGTAGACCACCACCACAGTCAGACCACCACAGTCAGGGTAGACCACCACCACAGTCAGACCACAACAGTCAGGGTAGACCACTACAGTCAGACCACCACAGTCAGAGTAGACCACCACAGTCAGGGTAGACCACCACACAACAGTGTCCTATAATTCTCAGTAGTTACAGCTGAAGGGGTAGAAAGAAAACGTGGAGATGGAATATTGGATCCACTGAAGGTTTGTGCTGTCAGGGTTAAAGTGTAAACCCTGTCCCCTCTGCAGCGTGTGGGGGCTTCATCGAGCTGAATCATGGGGACCCTCCAGGTTACATCACCTCACCCAACTACCCTCAGAACTACCCCCAGAACATCGACTGTATCTGGGTCGTCACGGTGCCCAACGGAGAGGCGGTCCAGATCGACTTTGAGGATGAGTTCTACATCGAGCCCACCACCAGGTTGGACTACTGCTTCCTGCTCAGGCTGTGATTGTTTGGTTTAGATTTGTGTTCTAGTGAACAGTGAACTCCTCGACCTCTGAACCACAGGTACCATCAGTCTGACAGAGGCTCAGTTTATATTATAGATGATAAACCAAAGCTCTTCAGTGTGGAGACGGACTCTGGAGGACCCTGCTCCTTCATCATGAGGAGGAGGAGGAGTTTATAAATGATGTTCATGGTTCTGTTCCTGGTCTGAGGATCATGGTCTTTTCATGTCTTCCACAGTTGTCTGTACGACTACCTGGAGTTGCGTGACGGAGCAACATCTAACGCCGATTTGATTTCCCGCCTCTGTGGCAACACACGACCATCTACCCAGCATTCAACAGGGTCCTCCATGCTGCTCAGGTTCCGCACTGACACCAGCGTCACACACAAAGGCTTCAAGGCAAAGTACTCCAAGGGTAAGTCACAGTCATCACACTCCAGGTCCAGGGTCTGGGTTCACACAGACAGACTCTGACTGTTTCTCAGATGAGACAGATAGACTGAGTCTGAATTCATCTGTTACATAAAACAGTTCAGTACTTGACTATCTGAAGCTGGACTGTGGTACAATAAATTCTGGGTAAACTAAGATTTTTATCCAAATTCAAAAAATGTCACATCCAACTGCTGAGCTCTGTTCACCCTCAGCAGACCAGTTTGTCTTTAGGAAGAATTCAACAGTTACAGGACGTTTAACTAATTTAACAAATAGTAAAACAGTAAAAATAAAAATCTGATTTGGAAAAACTCTTTCCCTCTTTGCTCTCTCCATAACAATGTTAGCAAACCACAGATTATGAGCCATGGTTTTAGTGAAACAGTCTGACTAACATCAGACTGATCCGGACCAGCACTACAGACCAGTCTGAAACATCTCTGTGAAACTGACCTCAGGTCTGATTATGACGAACTGTGATGAGGAGAATGTCTGCTCTATAAATACTCAGGCTCAGTTTATGTGTTTGGACATGAATTGTCTCAGCAGAGGACTGAGCTGGGAGTTTTTCTCTGTGACTGTCAGAGAAACTGAACCTACAGCTGATTCAGGGAAAGTGACTTTCATCAAGATTTTAAAATCTCTCATCTCCCCTCCCTCACAGCGACATGTGGAGGAACCTACATCGGTCAGAGTGGAACCATCAAGAGCCCTGGCTTCCCAGGATCCAACTACCCTGACAGCTCCAACTGTGAGTGGTTCCTGGAGGGCCCCACAGGACACTACCTGACCCTCAGCTATGAGAGCTTCAGTCTGCAGACCAGCTCAGGATGCTCTGCTGACTACGTGGAGATCAGAGAGTACAACGCCTCAGGTGAGACCACAGGGACCAGAATAAACAGATATCATTATTATATGAGTCTGACAGATGTGATTACATGAATCAATATGATCTGAAAACCCTTCACATCCAGCCATGTCTTTACCCACGTACAGTTTATACAGTGACTTCAGTCTCACGTCTGTGTGTCACACAAAGACACTTTCAGTTCAACAGTCTCATCGTCAGCAGTTCTCTACACGTTCATGTGTCTGTATGAAGTGAAGAAAAATCAGTAGAAGGAGAAACGCTGCAGAGATCAGAGTCTCACTGAGACGATGAGATCACAGACCCACACCAGATCATGTTCCTGTGTTCTGTGTTGTTCTGTATTATATTATATTATATTATATTATATGACATTATATTATATTATATTATATTATATGACATTGTGTTGTGTTGTATTATATTATATTATATTATATGACATTGTGTTGTTCTGTATTATATTATATTATATTATGTGATGTTGTGTTGTATTATATTGTGTTGTTCTGTAGTGTATTATATTGTATTGTGTTGTTGTGTGTTGCAGGGCGTCTCCTGGGCCGACACTGTGGCTCTAACCTTCCCACCTCTTTGGACACGTCTGACAGTTTTGCCTTCGTCAGGTTCGTCAGTGACTCCAGTGGGAACGCAGCAGGTTTCAGTCTGAGGTTTGAGGCCAGTGTTGAAGGTACATAACAGGTCACACACTGCACCACACACACATGATGTTCACACACAGAGGACGTGTGTGTGTGTAATACTGTCTGTAGAGGTGTTGATAACAGAGAGAAGACCTGGTGATCAGCTGGTGTCTCATTAAATACGTCACAGTTTCTTCTGTTCGACAAAATAAAATGTGTTCCTCTAATGAAGGATCTTCTACTGCAGCTTCCATCAGCTTTACTACAGATCAGCTGTTAACCCTTCTCTCTGCCCCCCAACCCCCCCTCCCCTCCTCCCCCTCCTCCCCCTCCTCGCAGCCTGTGGAGGAGAGCTCAACGCCCCCTCAGGAACCATCTCCTCTCCTAACTACCCCAACCTGTACCCTCACAGCCGGGTGTGTCGCTGGACTCTGGTGGTGCCGCCAGGCCGCCGGGTCACTCTCACCATCAACGACCTGCGGCTGGAGGGTTCTGGTACTTCCTGTTCATTTGACTACGTTGATGTGAGTTTATGTCTCATCACTTTGTCAAGTTCAGCTCACTCCTCATTCACTCTTTGTAATTAAGTTGTAATTAAAGTTTATTGACTCTTTCAACACAAAACACAATGAAACACAAAACCACTTCAGTCAAAGAGAAACAGGTAAAAATGTCAATGATTGTTGTTTACAAAGAAAAACAACATAAAAAGAAAAGGTCTGAATATTTACTTCCTGTTAGGACCTTTCCTTCATTTACATCATAAAGACCAGGTCCTGGAGGAGAGGCTTCAGTCCTGCTGCAGACCCAGTGCCCCTGTGTGTCCCTGATCATTTCTGTGTCTTCCAGGTTCTGAACGGACTGGCGGTCAACGCCCCCCGCCTGCAGCGCTTCTGTGGTACAGTACCAGCAGGAACCCAGGTGCGCTCCTCTGGTAACACCATGATGGTGGTCTTCAACACGGACTCCTCTGTGTCCAACGGAGGCTTCACGGCATCTTACTCCTCTGAGGAGGCTGCAGGTCAGAGACCTGAACCTGAACCACTGTCACACATTTACAGTCGTCACCAACAGCTGCACATCATCTGTTTCATTTACATTTACAGACACTGAAGTTTGTGTTTATAAAAGGAGGATTATTGTGATAAATGACTGTCAAACATCAGAAGTCTCTAATACAGTTAATATATCTAATAAAGTGCAAGGAGCATGTGACACTGACAGGTGTGTTGTTACCTGTGTGTGTCTCTGATTCACCTCAGTGTGTGGTGGAGTCCTCAACAACCCCGTGGGCGGGAACTTCACGTCTCCTGGATACCTGGTGTCCAACTACAGCAACAACCTGAACTGTGAGTGGCTGATCCAGAACCCCCGACACGTCAACTCCTCCATCGTGGTTCTGGTAGAAGACCTGCACCTGGAGCACCACCAGACCTGCCAGTCAGACCACCTCCAGTTCCGCTTAGGTGAGAACCTCACAGAGAACACGGCAGCAGGACGGACTGGGAGGTCCGAGTCAGAGACCGCACCAGTCAGTGGGTGGACCCTCCTGTGGTGGACCATGTCCAGGGTGTAGGACAGACCTGTTTGTCTTCTCCATGTTTCCTGTGTGTTGGTGCAGAGCAGGTTCTTTATTCTGTCTTCATGTCTTACCTGTGTTAAACTTTGTCCCCCCTCCCTCAGGTAACTCTGAGGGGCAGCTGTTGGCCACGTTTTGTGGGCAGACCACCCCCAGAGTTCCCATTGTAGTCTTCACCCCCGAGCTCTGGGTCCAGTTCCTGACTGACAGCTCCCAGGGAGACCTGGGCTTCAAGGCCAAGTACCTGTTCTCAGGTGAGACACACTGAGACCTCATGAAGCTCCAGATGGAGGATTTGATGTGAGATCAGTGTCTGATCTGTCCTCACATGGATCTTCCTCTTCGCAGAGTGTGGGGGCTTGCAGACAGGTGAAGGAGGGGGGCTATCCAGTCCTAACTACCCCAACTCCTACCCCAGCCCCAGTCGCTGTGCCTGGCTGCTGGAGGCCCCTGAGGGCCACACCATCACAGTGAGTGGGGGGGGGGGGGGGGGGGGAAACAGTCTCAATCGTCAGCAGTTCTCTACATATCTCTTATTGTGTCCTGTATGAAGTGAAGAAAAATCAGTAGAAGAGAACACGCTGCAGAGATCAGAGTCTCACTGAAGAACGATGAGATCACAAGACCCACACCAGACATCATGTTCGCTGTGTTCTGTGTTGTTCTGTATTATATTATATTATAATTATATTATATGACATTCATACTTATATTTATATTATATTATAATGACATTGTTGTTGTGTTGTATTAATATTAATTATATTATATGACATTGTGTTGTTCTGTATTATATTATATTATAATTAAATGTGATGTTTGGTTGTATTATAATTGTGGTTGTTCTGTAGTGCTAATAATATTGTATTGTGTTGTTGTGTGTTGCAGGGCCGTCTCCTGGGCCCGACACTGTGGCTCTAACCTTTCCCACCTCTTTGGACACGTCCTGACAGTTTTGCCTTCGTCAAGGTTCGTCAGTGATTCCAGTGGGAAAGCAGCAGGTTTCAGTCTGAGGTTTTGAGGCCAGTGTTGAAGGTACATAACAGGTCACACACTGGCACCACACACACCATGATGTTCACAACAGAGGACGTGTGTTGGTGTGTAATACTGTTCTGTAGAGGTGTTGATAACAGAGAGAAGACCTGTGATCAGCTGGTGTATCATTAAATAAGTCAGCAGTTTTCTTCTGATTGACAAAATAAAATGTGTTCCTCTAATGAAGGAATCTTTCTACTGCAGCTTCCAATCAGCTTTACTAACAGATGCAGCTTTGTTAACCTTCCTCTCTGCCCCACAACCCCCTCCCCTCCTCCCCCCTGCCTCGGTCCACGCTCCTCCTCGCAGGCCTGTGGAGGATGAGGCTGTTTATACATGCGCGCACACCTATATAGGACCATAGGTGTCCTCGCGTGTTCGTGAACTACCGTTAGGCGAGAGCGGCGTGTATCCCTCTCACACGGCCGGGTTGGTGGTCGCTGGACATCTGGGTAGAGATGAGGCATGTCAGTTTGGTGTCCAGAGGAGTCTGGCATTTACACGTGTCCTCGAACGCCGTGCATCATTTTGTGCTAGCGAGTATCAATACACACGTAAGGAGAATTGGTCGGTGAGACATGTGGAGCGTCTATAGAGTCGAGTTTACATTGGCTGCTTACTCATATAGCAGAAGTGTCAGTAGTCAGCATGTTGCCCATAGTCTAGTATAGACTATGTATCAATGATACTCTGGTGGAATATCTATGCATCTATACTATGTCAGTCAGATCAGAGTGAGCGTCTTGTCTCACAGTTAATTCTTCACTTCTCTCTAGTCTTAGAGCGGGACTATCTGACATGATCTATATCGCTCAATTTAAGTTGTCTTACATTAAGATGAGTGTGATAGTGGAGAACTCATTCTGAGCGGACTTCTCTAGGCACGCGCAACATACACCAATATGGAACCACACACGCGATTATATCACCTCGAGAAGATAGCTATCAAGAGCGAGGAACAGAGAAGAGAAGGGTCATGAGTAGAGTATTGTTTCTACAATATCGCAAAACATCGATTGAAGATAACTGATATATGAGCCTGATATTTACTTCCTGTTAGCCGCTGGAATTATAGGAACCTAACTGATGACCTTTTTCTCGCTCTGCATTTACATCGAGTTGTAAGAAAGTACTGTGACTGGGCTCAACTGATGCAGTCACCGATCTATCAGCGTCTCTACCTGGACATCAGCAGTATATTACCAGCCAGAATGGCTCTCAGATAGTGATTGCACTGATTGTAGATATCTCATAGTCGACTTATCTTCTATATATCGGCATATAGGGTGAGTGAGTGGTTACTGGTACTGGTGCACTCGGTCATATAATAAAATCGCTTCCTGCTACCACCGCACCACTTTTGCCAGTCGACTTCATCTTAGTTGGTACACACGTAAAGCTGTAAACGCTAGAGGCAACAGAGGGGTATAGCGAAGCTCGTAACGACATGTGGAGTAGACCACTATGATAAGTGGTCTTCAACACGGACCTCACTCGCTGTGTCCAACGGAGGTTCACAGGCAATTTTCCTCTGAGGAGTGCAGAGTACAGAGACCTGAACCTGAACACTGACTATCTATCAATTATATACATCACGGTCACAACAGCTTGCACATCATTCTGTTTCATTTACATTTACAGACACTGAGTATTGTGTTTATGATGGAGTATTGTGATAAATTGACTGTCAAACATCAGAAGTCTCTATAATAGCAGTTAATATATGCTTAATAAAAAGTGCAAGGAGCATGTGACACTGATCAGGTGTGTTGTTTACCTGTGTGGTCTCTGAATTCACCTCATGTGCTGGTGGAGTCTCAACAAACCCACAGTGGTGAGCTGGAACTTCACGTCTGATACCTGGTGTCCAACTACACAGCAACAACCTGAACTGTGGAGTGGCTGATCGACAAACCCCCGACCGCACTCCTCCATGTGGTTCTGTTGTAGAAGACCTGCACCTGGAACCCACCAGAGGTGCCGAGCGAGACCACCTCGCAGTTCGCTAGGTGAGAACTCTCAACAAAGAACAGAAAAAAAGTGAAAAATGTAAACACGGCAGCAGGACGGACTGAGGGAGGTCCGAGGTCCAGAGACCGCCACCAGTCAGTGGGTGGGAGCCCCTTGGCGAGCATGTGCCAGGGTGTAGGACAAGACCCTGTTTAGTTTCTCCATGTTCCTGTGTGTTGGTGCAGATGCAGGTTCTTTTATTTCTGTCTTCATGTCTTACCTGTGTTAAATTTGTCCCCCTCCCTCAGGTAACTCTGAGGCGCAGCTGTTGGCCACATTTTGCTGGCAGACCACCCCAGAGTTCCCATTGTAGTCTTCACCCCCGAGCTCTGGCTCCAGTTCCTGACTGACAGCTCCCAGGAGACCTGGGCTTCACCAGCCAAGTAACCTGGTTCTCAGGTGATAGACACACTGAGACCTCATGAAGCTCCAGTATGGAGGATTTGATGTGAGATCAGTGTCTGATCCTGTCCTCACTGGATCTTCCTCTTCGCAGAGTGTGGGGGCTTGCAAGACACGGTGAAGGAGGGGGCTCATCCAGTCCTAACTACCCCAACTCCTACCGCCAGCCCCAGTCGCTGTTGCTGGCTGCTGGAGGGCCCCTGAGGGCCACACACATCACAGTGGAGTGGGGGGGGGGGGGGGGTTAA